GAGGGCCTTGAGTTTGACACCCTTTGTTTAGGCTGTGCCAAAAGGATATTCTTTAATCATCAGGAAAGTCCTTTTGGATTGGTCTAATTTTCCCTCTCTGTAGGAGATGATGTACGTCTGGAACGGTTTCACCATCGTTGGGAAGAGAGCCGACAGCACCGAGGCCTTGCTGGTAACCATAGAGACGGCAGAGGAGCAGCTACGCAACGACCCCAGTACGTTAAAAATAACGATTTAGCTACTCGTTATTGTAATAAAAAAAAAAGTCAAGCCGGAGTTCCACAGGGTTTCGTCCTTGGCCCACTTTGTTTTCACATTGTACCGAATAAAAACATCTGGATGAATGTCATCGAGCAGGTGTTTCTAACAGACGATGCTGTTTTATATTCATCCTATTTCTGTTGCCTCAATCTATTTTAGCACGGTTTGAAAGCTACTTATTTTCTTTCTTAGTATAACTAGTAAAAAGTAGTGCTGTATGCAGACGATGCTGTTACATATTCATCCAAATAAATGTGTTAGAGTGCTAGCCAATAGAAGCACAGAGTGTTGGCTCTCTGTTCTGGAAGTAAACAAAGCACACACTCTCTCACACAAAGTGTAAACAAACCCCATCATAGAAACACAAAACAAGGTCAAAGCTACACCAAGAAAATAACATGACTTGTGTTCAGGCCCGTCAGAGTTTCATCCCGACGACAGCTGCCTGGTCCAGATGTTGAAGGGTCTCTGTCTGAAACACCTGGGCAGGTTACTGCAGGCAGAGCTCTGCTTCACACAGGTCCTCTCCAGGTAACACACACACACACACACACACACACACACACACACACACACACACACACACACACACACACACACACACACACACACACACACACACACACACACACACTAAAATACACTCGGACAGACAGGTTTAACACACTTTACATTAATATTCAATCTAATATTTAATAATCCATTCCTTGCACAATTAATGTATTTATAATATCCTGCTTATGTTACTGTGAATTTCCCCATTTATATTTTTTACTTTTTTAATGCTATTTTATTTGTATTTCTATTTGAGACGTTTACATTTTGTATGGTTTATTTCTAGTCTCTTAATTTCTCTAATGTACAATGCCTTGTCTTTTTATGCTGCTGCAACTTCTTCTCTTATCTGACTTAGGGTTATCTCCTTTCAGAAAGCGGGATAAGATAAATGTTGTTATCTGTGTTTCAGCGAGAGCCGTATCAGATACGATCACTACTTGATTCCCTTCACGCTGTACGAGCTGGGGCTGCTTCACAAACAGCAGGGAGACTTCGCCAAGGCCACCACCTACATCGAAAACGCCAAGTGAGTTATCCTTATAGATATATCATTATACCTTTTACACCAAAATATACCTTTAACAACCTCTGTATGTTGGTTTATTATTTTATACATCAGATTTGTATGTAATGTATACCTTAATATACCCTTTAGTCTACTTCTCTATACCTATTATTATTAATATATATTTTTATTTCATTTAACAGTCAAGGTACAAGGGGAAAATGTTTTTGACCTGTATTTTTGTATATTTTTTTTGTATTTAATGACCAAGGTACATGTGTTTTACTTATATTTATTATTACAAAATGTATTAATTAAAAAAACGAAAGAATGTAATTAAAGGCAAAGGAAATTTTTTTGTTGATAAAAGAACATTTTGCAAGTAAAAATCTGATTTCTTCCATGATTTTTTTGTGTTTTCCCTCAGGACGAACTACAAGGATTACTCCATGGAGTCCCGGCTTCACTTCAGGATCCACGCGGCTCTGAGCAGCCTCAAAGGGTCTCCTGTTGGCACCCCATAGTACCCCAAAATACCCCATAGTACCCCATAATACACCACGACACTCCAAAAAACTCCATAACACACAGGGATTCCCCCTCATCACATCCAAACCAGGACTCCTCCATTGCTTGTAAAAGTATATTATATGTTTCCTTATTTATTTATGTGTTATTGTGTGAACAGATGAGATTATCTAAGCGTCTCAAACAGGCTCAGAGTCAGGTAAGAGTTTAATGACGAGATTCAATGCAAGATGTTTATTTAATCAATTAGTTAACGAGTCATTGTCAGAGAAAGGATTTCAGTCTAATGGTGCGTCCACAGCGGAAACAAGTTTTACCAGCTCACCGTTTGTCTCTATATTGATTAATACAGCCGTTAAGACCCAGAGTCAACAGGTTTAATTGCAATATTTGCACCAAAGTGGATCCGAGTTAACGACGTAATGACACAGATTACTCCGTTTGCACGACGGCAAGCAACATACTTTAAAATTTTCTGAATGAACTTTGGTTTACTAATCTTTGCATTTGCGTGAGAAAAATACATTTGTGTCGGATGTGAACGCACCATAAGGGGCTCGTTCACTCAGAGGCGCTTTACAGACAACTTTTTGTTCATTAAGTTATGCAGATAAAGCACAAGGTAAGAACAGGTTTTATTGTTTCTTAAATATCTTGGAAAAACTCTCCCAGTATTCCCAACAGAAGTTTAAATCTGTTGCCTTGGACCGCTCTGCCTGAACGAGCCCTTCATTTAAATCTGACACTACTTTACAAATCATGGCCTTAACCCGCTTATAAGGATAGAATCAGAAATACTGAGGGATTTCAGGTTCAAGAGACGATAAACGTGCATTCATGTGACCAGCAGGGAGAGGGGTATATGCTTTATATTTATTACTTTGCCTTTTTCTTAATTTCCTAATAATGCATCACACACACAATCACAGCCTTCCCACCAACCGTGGCTTATACACACACACACACACACACACACACACACACACACACACACACACACACACACACACACACACACACACACACAGACAGACAGACAGACAGACAGACAGACACACACACACACACACGCACACAATCACCTACACACACACAATCACCTACACACACACCCACTCACTCACACACACACACACACACACACACACACACACACACACACACACACACACACACACACACACACACACACACACACACACACACACACACACTCTCTCACTCACACACTCACACACTCACACACACACACACACTCACCTACATACACACACACACACACTCACCTACATACACACACCTCTACACACACACACACACACTAACACACGCACACACACTCTCTCACGCACACACACACACACACACACACACACACTAACACACGCACACACACTCTCTCACGCACACACACACACACACACACACCCACTCACACTCACACACACACACACACCCACTCACTCACACTCACACACAAACTCACACACACACACACACGCACACACACTCATAATCCACTCACTCCAAGCTTGCACACACTGGGAAGCATAACGGCTGAAAACGCACACATTTAGCAGCAATATAAAATGTTTGTTTTGCGTCACTTTGTCGGACTTTAGTTTCTCATATGCCTTTTTTTCTTAATGTTATTGTTTGATTGGCCTTCTTCTTGTTTTGCTGCCTCCTAGTGGACATAATATATAAATATAAATTCAACAAAAAACAGATGAAATTGCATAAAGAATCCACTTTTTCATCGAAATACTGTAAAAAAAAGACCAAACACCTGTTTTTACTTTTCTTATGTTAAATTGTATTCTATTATTTACTCTATTATATAAATCAGCAACATATATGAAGAACAGTTAGTTTAGTACATATATATTTACGTATTTGTTTTATTAAAAGCACAATCTATCTATGATCCAAGCTAAATAAAAGCAAAACGAAAAAGCAATCTTCAAGTAGTTTGATACTACTCACTACTTTGTGTATATATATATATATTAACAAAATCATTATTTACTTTATGTCAAAAAAGTGAATTTGGGGAACGGTGCGATCAGAAGCTAACCCCTAAACACTTTTTATTATATTCAATATATCTGAAAACACAATTAAAATGGCCCTCCTCCCTATAATGAATGTATTAACCTAAAAACCAAATGATCTGTGTGTCTTGCTATTCGTGTCTTTTTTTTTATGTGTTTTGTTTTGATTTTCTGTGAGTTTTTTGGTAAAGTTGACACCAGTTTAACTCAAAAGAATAGAGTCTAAAGAATTAGCCGCTAAAATGCTAATGCTAGAAAACTGCCACGATAACATTGCTGGTAAAAACAAGGTGTTGCTGCGGGAACAAGTAAATGAACTCAGTGAATATTAAAGATAATTCATGTTATCAGTTTGCTATAACCTGGTTGATTTATCAAAAGTGCGCTGAGTTAGCATCACGTCACTAGCTTATGCTACAGTGTTAGCATGTTGGCTGTTATCATAAACTAGCGTGAAATAATCTGAAATGTTACCATCATCACTAGCGGATGCTAAAGTTAAATTTAGAGCGACCTTTCTAGGCCTTTCGGGATTCAAAACGTAAATAAAAAATGTTTTGGAATCATTTCCCAAAAAATTTATTGAAATGTTCGTTCTTTAAAATGTTTCCTTTTTAAAACCTTTCTTTATTGCAAATGTGTATGCTTCTCTGTATCCAACTGTTATTATTATTATTATTATTTTCTACAGCATGTTTTCCATTATGTTTAATATGTTTTCTGATATACGGCCATTACTGTATTTGCTTTACGGCAGGAAGTGACATAACCAAATATTTACGATTATAGACGATGACTCACGTGGTGCAATAAAGAGAAATCAGATGAGTAATGTTTTATTTTGAATTCTATTTCTAAGTTTTTCATTTATTTCCTCTGTGTATAAGTGTCTCTTTGTTTTTCTTTAATTCTTCAGCCTCTGTCTTTTTGTTTGCTCATTTAACAACGATTCACTGCAAACACTTATAAAAAGTAAACCGGCAGATGTGTTGGTTCAGTGATGATTTTGGTCCGAAGTGTGAAATACTTTTTAAAAGCCATAACTGTTGTATTGCCTTTATATACTCAACAGCTTCTAACTTCCTACATTAGTTATTCATATTAATGTTCAATAAAACTTCAAACATCGAGAAGAGTTTAAGAAATAATGCTTCTGGTGCATTTTGTGGCATTAAGACTAATAAACAATAACACTTTTAATGTCAAACGTTCAATAATGTTCTTTATTTTACTCATTTTGACAACTCTGCTGTTCGGGTTTATAAAGTTTTTGTGGCTTTGTTTGTATCGAGCTAACAAATGTTAAA